ACACACACACACACACACTGGCATCACGATTAACAAACCTCATCCCTAGTCCCTCGCTCTTTTTCCACACATAGTAAATGCTATCCAATGAAAACGCGGCCGCCGTCCCCACTCTCCTGTCATGGGATTGTTGTTAAAGGAAAATGAGCCTGAAACTCAACAGGAACATGTAGTTCTGGTTGGTTTCCTGTTTTCAGAGAGTGAGAAAAATCTCCCTGTTGTGCTCAGTTTGTAGACTTCTGTGAACCAAAGGTTTATAATAGAGGTTTATGTGGCTTGGCAACACAGGATTGCTTGCTCAGTTTAGTACAATTTTGACATGTCTATACTCTAGGTTGTTGTTATAGTCTTAACATGGGCATGACTCCCTTCATTGCACCCTTGTGATGCCTCAACCCAAGTGAATGTCCTGCACATGATGTGTTTATAACTCCTGCATTTCTGCTGTTTGTTTCTAGCCATTTATGTCACCTCGGTACCCCGGAGGACCCAGACCACCCCTCAGATTACCCAATCAGGTAAGAGCCACACTGACACCTGGTGGCAGAAAGACCTGCAGACTGGAGAAAGTGTTACTATGTGTGACAGTGATGACAAAGCTGATGAAGGACCCTCTTTCCTCTGTAGGGACTTGGAGGAGTCCCAGGTAGTCAGCCGATGTTGCCCAGTGGAATGGACCCCTCAAGACAGCAAGGTATGCATATAGTCCTGAACCCTGGACTAAACTTACAGCTGATTGTGTTTGCTGCTGACTGTTGATGTTCTGCATTTCAGGACATCCAAATATGGGAGGACCCATGCAGCGGATGACTCCACCCAGAGGCATGGTACCGCTGGGGCCCCAGGTACGGAGCCAGATGATTTTCAGGAATATTTTGAAAAATAGTTTGTGATAATCAGTCCAGATCATAAACTGTATATAAAGATGGATGACATGATGGCTCCCAAAAGTGAAGCCAAAGCAACTTGATTGCCCCCTGGTGGCTGGCTGCAGTATAGTTTATAAACCCTGCCTCCTCCGTGTTAGTGAACAATCACCAATATTTTACATGTCAAATACTTTCTTCCTCAAACATGAGTCCCGTCATTTACGATGGTTCTTATCACACTAATGTAAGTTCAAGTGCTCATTTCTCCAGTAAGTTTGATTTAAATCAATTATTTGAGGCAATAAAAATCGGGTGAAACATCATGATTGACAGCTAAGACTAGTTCGTGATCGATACAGCACAGATTCTGGCTCCCAATCACATCAAGGGCAAAAGATGGCCGCATTTGTATTCCAGATATTATGGCTTAATATCTGGATCCTGGGAGGAAGTAGTGACATGTCGTCCATCTCTATTTACAACCCATGGTTCAGACATAACTACAGACATTTATTTCCTTGTGTTGTTTTAGAGTTATGGAAGTGGGATGAGACCACCACTGAACGCCCTGGTTGGTCCTGGGATGCCTGGCATGAACATGTGAGTGTTATCCACACGATGTCATCTGCATAGAAAGAGAGAGGGCAGAGCATACAGAGCAACTTTAGCTCTAGGCTTCATCAAATTCCCTTTTTCTCCTCCATTTATCTCTTAAAATGTAAATGATCCAACCCCCAATTTCTACTTTTGTAGAAAGTATCTCATTGAGATGCAAGACTATAAAACACATTTCATATACGGTGGTAGATTCAAGGTGCTGTTCAGAAACATTAAAAACAACACAGAGACAAAATTAAGTCAAAAATATATCAGTTAAAAAGAGCCAAATAAACGGGGTTAAAAAGAGCAGAGGAAGAGAGGTAAAGATATTACAAGTAAACAAAATAAGAAGGATAAATCTGTATAATAGTTTAAAAATAAGTTAAAGGATCAAAATAGTACAAATAAAAATGATTTAAATAAAAACATTTAATGAAATAAAATGTAATAAATGGTGAAATGGCTTTAGATTTTCTTAGATAGTATAAAGGCACTTTAAGGGCTTTCAGTGAGGATTTAAAAGCTGCAGTAGATGAGGAACTCCGAGGAACAATGAACATACTTAATCGTCTTTACTGTATGTTCTTGGTTGTTGGAGGTCGAGAGCTGAGAGGCCATTATCCTCCATTTTGTCTTTTTTTTATGTGTGTGTCTGTTTTCTTGTTGTTGTTGTTGTTGTTCCCATCACCTCTCTCTGGCAATGGGAGACGTTGTTGTTGCCAACTCTGCCCAAATGAATTTGAAAGGACGAAGCTTGCCAAAAGCAGAAAAGATAACTGTGTGTGTGTGTGTGTGTGTGTGTGTCTGCGTGTGTGTGTGTGTCTGTGTCTGTTCAGGGGACCTGGTGGGGGTAGACCTTGGCCGAATCCTCCAAACTCCAATTCGGTAAGTGTTCTAACAAAGACACCTCACCTAAGTTATTTCATTTCTTTAATGATTTATCCTTCTGCGTTTTTCTAGACCCCTTACTCTTCTGCATCTCCGGGAAGTTATGTGGTATGTGCTGTGTGTTTGACTTTATTAACTACGTGTCTCTACACGTAAGCTGTTATTCATGAGTTCATGAATGAATCTCATGGAAAACAAAACTGTAATTTCAGGGACCTCCAGGAGGCGGCGGGCCACCCGGGACCCCAATAATGCCAAGTCCAGCAGGTAAGCTCTGTGTATGCATGTGTGCATTACTGTGTATATACAATGTTTTGCTCCTTTATCATCTTATTGTCATTATCATCAATGTCTCTTATGTCAGATTCAACCAACTCCGGCGACAACATGTACACTTTGATAAACACAGTCCCTCCAGGTGGAAACCGACCAAATGTGAGTCATACCCTTTACATATCACTGTGTGTGGGGCGTGGATGAACTGTTTTTACTTTATGTTGTGGTAAAATGTGTTACAGGTATAACACTCCCTCTTATGTTTGTTTGTTTGTCTGGTTCTTCAGTTCCCTATGGGAGCAGGTGGAGATGGTCCATTAGGGGGAATGGCTGGAATGGAGCCTCATCACATGAACGGATCATTAGGTAACAGGAACAAGTTGCTTTTAGGTGCTGCACTGACACCAAATCTCTGCTTTTATTTATTTATTAAGTTATTTCTATTTATTTATTTTGTACAAAAACAACATTCACATGATCATGGCGATCTGTGTTATTAACATACTGATGTTCCCTCTCAGGGTCAGGTGATATGGACAGTTTGCCTAAGGTGAGAATAGCTTCTTACTTACTTACCTCCTTTTTGTAAATTGCACTGTGATTTTTATGATTTTTGAGGCACAGTATTCTCATTAAGTTATGTTTGAATTACCTTTGTAAAGAACTCGCCTGGTAACCTAAGTATGAGTAACCAGCCGGGGACCCCCAGGGAGGATGGAGAGATGGGAGGAAACTTCCTCAACCCTTTTCAGAATGAAAGTGTAAGTTGGTTGTCGGCTACTGTTTGGAATGATTAGAGGGATGTGATGGGTGGTGCTGCAGAGCACTCATAAAATTTTGCAGTGCTTTAAAAGGAGTAGGTGGCATTCTGGGAAATACACAATGAAAAAATCAATGTGTGTAAATCTACATGCTAAATTTGAAGCTATAGTCTGCAGCCAATCAGTTTATCTTAGCATAAAGACTGTTTGTAAAGATGGACGACATGACACTCCCCAAAAGTGAAGCCGAAACTTCTCAGTCACCACCTGGTGGCTGGCTGCAGTATAGCTTATAAATCCTGCCTCCTCCATGTTTAATAGAGAACCACGTCAGGAAGGAAGTGACATCTGTGTTTGTGACGTAACAGGATTTTCTATATAGAGGAATTTTGTTGAGAGAAGTTCCCTAAAGCGACATTCCCTCAACATGGAGCAGGAAGTAGAGATCACTGTTTATGTAAACTGTGGAGCGGTTTCCACTACGTGATTACATGTGACGTTATTCCACCAGTCTGCTACCGTGTAGACCATTTTGGGTGTTTTCACGTGTCACCTGTTGATGTGGCAAAATGCTGTGAAAAACTCCAATAGGAAATTATAATGCAATTAATACGTATACATGTCTACATACTGTGGCTAAGGTCGGAATACTCCACATCTCCTAATTCGATTATTGCATATTCCGAGTATGACCTTATTCTGGTTAATACCAGAATGTTGGTATCCTTGTAAATGTAATCACTGTGAAATACAAAACTGTTTTTCTCTCCCCCTCTCACACACACAGTTGTCACACACTTGACTTATGTCTCTGCAGTATTCTCCAAACATGACGATGAGTGTGTGAAGGTTTGGGCGGCGCCTCGATCACTTGCTCAGTGCGCTGGTGCGATGAAAAGCAGAGAGACTGGATGTGACGTCATCTAGGCCAGTGACTCTTCCTCCACCACCACCACTGACCCAGTCAGGACAGTTGCCCCCCGGGCTCCGTCCCTCTCTCCGCCCCCTCAAGCCTCCATCTCTTCCCCCATTCCTTCATTGGTTTCTGTTCACCTCTCCTCCTCCCTTGTTTGGTCTCCCCCTGTTCTACGTGGTGACTCTGCTACATTCATCAGTTCCTCCTCTGCAACCATGAGACTGTACAAAGGAACCAAACGGATGAAAACCCCCAGAGGAGAACTCTTTGTATATTTGCAAACGATGTGACTGTGCACACTCACTCCAGTCACAGACAGGTGTCTCTGCCTTTTGCATCACGTCACAGAGTTCATGCTCAAAAACAAACTGGCCAGTATCCTATTTATGCTAAAGTTTAAATATCCAAGGACTTAAAGAGATAAAGACACTTTTTTGATTGACAGTAAAAATGGAATCTAACTGGTTGTCACATCTTTTGTCTTTACCTGAGAAATCACTTGGTGGAGGAGAATCGAGAGACATCACAATCATATTAACATGGCATTTTAAGTGAGGCAAATATTTGTAAAGTCAAATTTTGTGGCTTTCTAAAATTGTGTTTTATGTTTTATACGATGGCTTTCGTGATTATTTTTTGATTCTTAAAAGTCATCACAAACTCTGTCCTCTGCACAACAAATACTTTTCTGAATTGAATAGTTCCAGAGGAAGTTAGTTACAGAGTTTGGTTCAAGGCTTAAAGTGAGAATATGTGACTTTTGAGCTGTAGCCACTGTTGTCACAAGTTGTGGTGGAATGGTAAATTATATTGTGATGATAAAACATAGCAACAGCAGCAAAAGTGGACTAGAGCTGTAAAGTCCATGAAATGGTTTGTAATGTCCATCATAGCATTATAACAATGTCTAGCTACAGTTTGTAACCTTAGCTAACATATAGCAAACCAAAAAGCCATTGGTCAAACCAGAAGCAAATCCCCTGTGGGCTTACGAAGAAGTTACAAAGTACTTTCTGACATTAGTTTCCTCTATCGCTGTTTCCATAACAATGTTTCTTAATTTTCGGGACTGGGTCCTCCAACCTTGACGAGCAGTGGATATCTTTTTTCATCTGGCCTCCAAATCTTTAACCTGTACAGCTTGAGAGACCCTGCCGGGGGCCTGTGCGCCTGCTGCCATAGCACGAGAGGGTGTTCAGAAAATATACACACATCCAAACTTGACAAGCACTTGGAGGCAATGGAAGAAATATCCCACAATTTGAAAACCTTCCAGGTAACATTTCAGGATTCTTCAATGCCCAAAACGTTTATAATAATTAAAAAGTGAATGGGAGACTCGACTGGTGTGACTGCTGTGCTCAGGCAGTACATACAATACAAGTTATATTGTCCCCCCCCCCCCTTACAGAATTGGCCCATAAATTGTGAGTTGTTAAAATATCTATTAAGTTGCCAGACACTTTGCAAAGACCCAGAATAATAATTTCAGCCTTTCAGTGGTGGCAGAATAGCGCTTTGAGTGGACATTTCGTGGATTGTCGCAATTGCCCCATAAAATTACATAAGAGCCATTGCCGCCATATTGCAGCTGCCCGCAGAATGATCTACTGATTCCAAAAGTTCTGCGGGTACCATTCATCACACTTCAAACCAGATCTTTCCTTATGCAAGGAGCAGCAAAGAGGAAGAATGTTTGAAAAACAGTTTTCTTTCCATGTAACTGATCAGTGAGCAGAAGACCTTTGTTGCAATTCTTTTTCTTATGTAAACAAGTTACGTAAGGTGAACAGATAGAAAACCTTTAGTCAGGCTTGTGTTTGCTGAGGCCTCTCTGACCTCTGGATCCAAATGATTTTTCAATTTACGTCAGTTTACTAGACAGAAATGTTCAAAGAGAAATCAAAGATAACCAGTACAGATGGTAAACGATTAAACACAAGCGTCACTTTGGTCACCCATACTTTAGAGTCATCCGGAATAACTGTGATCTCAGAGTGATATGAGAGGAGGGTTGGTACAGAGCTAAAATAAGCTTGTTTTTAATCAAAGTTTTGAACTTTTTTCACTGCCCTGGATTGTATCATGTATAAAAGGTCAATATGCCTGTGAACATTCCCCTCTACCCTCCCCTACTGCAAAGTGTACAGCTCACAAATGTAGCTCCTCTGTCTTGTATGTGTATTTGATATTATTGTTATTATTTAAAGAAGAATCCGGAGAGTTATGAGGCGATGGACTGATGATGGACCATCACAACAAACCTGCAACTTTTTTAAAGGAATATTATTATGTTGTTTTTTTTGTTGTTGTTGTTAGATTGAAGCCATAAGTGGGAGTACAAGAAGTTGCATTTGTAAATGGGATCATGTTTTCTGTTTTGTGGCAACACGTGGGACTCCATTTGTGATGTGTTCATTTTCTCTTTTTTATTCTTTATTATTGTGTTTTTGTAAATACAGAGAAGTATTTCATGGGTTTTGGATATGCTGGTATAAAGCTTCTCTTCCCTTAAGTCAAAGTGTCAGCTTTTCATTTGCGAGGACTGTGTGTGTGTGTGTGTGTTTGTGTGTGTGTGTGTGTCTCAACGTGAACACAACTGAATGAGTGTGTTTGTAGATTAAGATCTGTTGCTTAGAGTTACTATGTCTCTAGTTCCTTCTGTCTTTGTAGAGTCTTAGATTGTAAATAAAGATGGACGACGCATCTTCACAGCCTCCCACTGAAGAAAATGAAAATATTACGAAACTATACTATAAATAGAGGGAGTTTAGTGTTTGCTCATTGTGGGAACTGTTAGGTTTCTCTATTATTAAGGTCTTGGCGTTAATATGTGAGGTGCCATAGATACTGTATGTTGCACTTTGGTGCTTTACAAGTAAAATAGAAGTAAAAAACAATGAGACTTTTCAAAATAAAACATAAAATGAGCCAAAAAACACAAGGCATGGCAAATGGTGACTTAACTGAAGCTAAAAATAGAAACAAATCCCGAAAAAACAAAAACACAAGAAAAACATAAACAAGTTCATTTTCAAAAGATCCAAGCAGAGGAATTGAAATATTTAACTTAAGCAGAATCAAGACATAAATATTCAACAACCCCACAATAAAGAAGCCTTATCACAGTGAGTCCAATGACGCTGCAGTGTACACACATAACCCTAAACACCTTCTCTCCCTCTCCCCTTTCTCCCTATTCCCCTCTCTCCTCCCCCTCTCTCCATCTCTTCCCTATTTGTAGCTTTCTCTCTTCTGCCCGTCCGGTCTCTCCTGCAGGAGTCCAGCTGTCCTCAACTCGCTGCTGTGTCCAGTTGCCTGATCATGTCTGCTCACTTCTGTTTAGCTCTGCTGGCTCTCTGCTCTCTGACCGCTGCGTCTGACCCAGATTGTGCAGAGCTGCTCAAACCTCTGGAGGAGCAAAGCCAGGTGCGTCCGTTGTCCTCAGGAGGTCTTTGGTGTGTGTGTGTGTGTTATACAGGACTACAACTATATATTTTACTGAGGTGTGTTCATTCTATGGAGTGTTCTTTAAATTCCAACATCTGGGGTTTGAGAGCCATAAACATCTGGAAGGTGGATGGAAGAAACTATTAAAAAGAGATTTATTACACCAATCTACAGCCACCAGTAATGTCTTAATAAAGTTTAAGGTCAAGCCACTGTTTAAAGTGTTTTATATCCATCAAAGTTAGATGGTTAGATAATATTATGGTTTTTAATTTTGCACATCTTTGTCCTGCAGGTTTTTGGAAAATGGATTTTCCACGTTGGAACATCAGACAATGAAGAGTTTCTGAAGAAACTTAAATTTGTCAAAAGCTCCTGGATGGAACTCTCACCCATAGCTGATAGTGACAATATGACCATGCGCTATGGAGACAAGGCGTAAATGTTCAACTTTGTGAAAATTCATTTTTTATACCTTTTAATGCAAGTGTCCAATGAATAAGGGGATAATTCATCTCCAACAGGTATGAGAAATGTATTTCCGGAGAAGTTAATACCACCTTCTCAGGAAACAGCTCCAAAGTGACATGTGAGTATGTTTTTATCAGGGACATATTACACGTGCTGTAACAGTTACTTATATTCTGTGTGAATTTATTAGTTCATTTCAACTCCACCACTCACGAGCATGTTGGGAAAAACCTGAAGACCTGCACTGGGTGCGTCCTGTGGATCGACAAAAGAGTGAGCACAGAGAAGGGGGAAACCAAACATGGCCGAAACCTCTTCCTCTTCAGTGAGTTCACTGATCTCTGTACCTGCTCAACTGTCCAATCAACCAACTTTATTTTCACTGCTGATCTGAGATAACATTATAACTTTCCCCCCCGTCACGCCTGCCCTGCAGCAAAGTCTGGGAAGTTGGACGACGCTGATCTGGATGTTTTCAAGAAACAAGCTGCATGCCTCAACTTCCCAGCTGAATTCCACTTTGGAGAGGCCACAGGTGAGATGCTGCAGTTTCTCTGTTGGATCGCCAGAAGTCACCAGTCTGAGAAACATACTGAGACACTTGTTCACTTCACCTCCCAACTCTGTTTTAGACCTGTGTCCTGACGAGAAGGAGGCCGCCACAGACGCAAAGGAGGAAGAACACTAGAGAAAACGGATGTTGATGTGCGGGTCGTCACCTGCTGTGAACCTCAAATCCATCCTGAACATCTGTTTGATGAATCCGTACCACTCACGAGTATTTATGACTGTGGCGAGACTAATTACAGTGTCTAGAAACCTTTTCTGTATTAAAGAATGAATAGACTGATTCGACATTTACCATCCAGTTCATGAATCATGATGGAAAAGGTTTTTTTTCTTCTGTGCATATAAAGTTTGACAAAAAGAACTGACTGTGTGTTTGGATGCTTCCATTTTGCATTGAACACAATCTGTGTGTGCTTTCTGACACCACTCGGTAATCTGCAGTGATTTCTGCAAAAGAGTTTGTCTGACCGAGCAAATCTAAAATGTCAGGGGAGTCAGAGATGGAAAAACAGCAGAGCTATATCTGATTCATAACGTTTTCTACGTCAACATGAGTCTTTTCATGGCGTCTACGAGTCGGAGTTCCCCTTGAATGATGGGGAGCATGTGGCAGTTTAACACGGCAGTGAGAAAAGGTTTGTTTGAACGCAACCCTTTTTCAAATTGCTTCGCACCATGTCGAGCGTTTTCCTAGAAGAAGAAAAACACGTTGATGTTCTCAGAGAGTTGCGCCACCTCGTCTTGTGTAAGTTCCACATTCTCTCTCACTCTCTAAGGGGCCCATTTAATTATTCATCCCTAAACATTTGCTGCCAAATTGAACAATACTTTCATTATTTCTCACCCTGGATCCGTGTGGTTCACAGATCTCCTTGGAAAGAAAGACAAGGCAACTGAAAGAGGTTTTTGTTTGTTTCATAACACGTCACTCGTCACTGACACTCGTGTCAGTGCACATCTATAAAGGGTCAACACCACTGATACATCATTTACCAAACCTCCCTTCACATTATCTATTTAAACAAGACTCTATTTATCATTTGCTGTATCTTTAAAACTAATGAGAGGAGCAAAACAGCATCCACATCATAAAAACAAGTAGATTTGCTTTCCTATCTTCGAAACTGCCCCTCGGTCACTGACCATAACCTCTGGATGCCTCTGCAGGCAAACAACATGACTGATCATTCATTCTCCAGTTTTGATGTTTTGAAAACAGTCAACAACAAAAAAAACTGTTAATGACTTTTTTTTATCAGTGGGCTAAAAGTCTCTGAACTTTTCCTTGAAAACCAAGGAGTCAGTCCATGTTGCGTAACAGTGCACGTGAATTGTAATGGAACAAGAGAGGAGTAGTTTCAGTGTTCGTTCTGCTGTGTATCTTGTTTGTCTTCTGTGTGTGTGTGTGTGTGTGTGTGTGTGTGTGTGT